CCATTGAATGAGGAACTACTGCCCGGCTTGATCTGCAATCCCCAAGTGCACCATTCTGCAACCAACCATCAGAGCTCAGCAGTTTTGGATTCATTTCCAATCACACTGGCGTTGGCCACCGGCGTGAGGCCATTACCATTCTTGATGCTGTCAAAAATCCGATCGATTCCCCCAAAGAAATCGTTCGAAGCATTATCGACTGACTCTTGAGCAACTGGAGCATCGAAATCGACAAAATCACCGATAAGGTCACAGGAAATGTCTTCGCAGGCGTCAAGCCAGTAAGACGGCCGGACGTCTTCCGTGGACGAGCCGTTGGCCGCTGCGGGCAGTGGAACCCTAGTCCCACCACAGTCCATTACAGCAGACTTACAAAACACGTTAACACACTAAAACACCAAGCACAACAACACTCTCTCAAAACCCAACAAAAGAAATCAAAATCTTTTAACACCGAAATAAACAAAATCAAAATCTTGACACAAAAATCAAAACCCCATACAACACATAACCGGAACTGGTAATTAATAGAAACAAAATAAAGAAAGAAAGACGGATGCTGAAGAAAAAGGGATTAGAGAGGAAGAGAGAAAAGAAACGGGGAAATGAGAGAGTGTAGAGGCGGAAGTAGTTGTGCAAAGATTAGGGTGGATAGACCGTACGAAACACGCCAATAGTCTCAAGGGGTTTAATCAAAACAGAAAGAATCCACTATGAGTATAAACCCCCAGAAATTTCTTGACTGTGATTCTTAGATTCCACGGTCTATCAACCCCGATTCTGCTCTCTTTTCACCTCCTTCTCTCTCTATATATAAGTATATATCTGTTGTACTCAGCCTCCGGTCTTTGTTGCTGGGATTTTAGCTACTTTTCTTGCTACCCGTCCTTCTAAATCAAGCCAGATTAAAAACAAGAAAGGGTTTTCTGGGTAATTAAGGAGACGGTCGAGTTTTTCTTTTTCTCTTCCTTTTTTTTCCCAACACGGATATTCAGTAAACCTTTTCTTACAAATATTTTTGAACACTTTCCAGGATTTTACTTACCGTAATTGGTGAGTTACGGTAAGAAGTAAAACAAGAGAGACTGTAATTTTCAGTACAGCCAATAGGAAAATGCCACATGGGCTCGAAATTGGGGTGACGTGGAGATATATGATTGGATGAGGGGATATTTGGAAACAAGCTGTTGCTGGTTGCTGTCTTTACTTTTCTTCTGCTGCCGAAAGTGTGTAGTGAACACGTGGCAAGTTGAAAAGAATCCAGGTATATTTGATAGGTGGTACAAGTCGTAGAGGG